GACTGCAGTTCTTTTTTTATATTTTAGAGTAAATGCTTCTGACATGCTCTTTGGTTGCTTAATATCCGTCTGAAATTCTGGACTGTGGTCATATTTTCCAATTATGAGTTGTATGTTTAAATAACTCACCGTGACTAGTGTTTTGCATTATGAAGTATATTATTATGAAGGTCAACACACTGTACTTTAGGAAAATATTTACCATTTCGTTATTTCATTATTTCGCTTTCCAGCATTTACAGGAAACACTTCATTCTAGAAAATGCTATCGCAAAACAGTTGGAAATAATAAATGTAACAGCGGAATACGTCATTGCACAGTCACTCTACTAGTAGAGTGAATGCCAGCAAATAAAGCACCCTGTCCAACAATCCTTTGTGCGCGTCATTACGAACACGCGCAAAAAACTGTACCACGCTTGTCAAATCTGGGTCAAATACTAGTATACAGTACGCTACTAGTAGAGTGACTGTGGTCCTAGTAATAAACTAAGTGACTTCTAAAGACTGAATGGTGTTTGCGAACTTCGTATTAGTTATAAACCAACGTTTGCTTCACGTTTATGTCACCATGGAAACAGCTAAAAACATATTGCTTGTTTCTGAGCGGAGCGGATCGCCAACCAGCCTACCGGCTTGTTCACTATATTTATTATGCATTATTTTTTTGTTGGTAGCAAATCATCACGGTACGGTAGCTTACTTGTTTTCGAAGTCTTGTAATTGTTGATTAGTACTCAGTAGTGATTATATTAATGTACAAAAAATAAATTCATTGAATTGTTATGAAATGCAAGTAAAATTCAACATAGTTTTATCGTAAGCAAATGTTTTCGGTTCCATGTTAACGCTCGATGCAAGACGATATCCGCCATGTTATCCACGCCCACGACACGTGTTTATTGACCAGATAGGTCAAGTCGCAAATCAACCAATCAAAATGCTGGATGGTGCCCATGTGCTCAAATTACCATAAAGCATTTAAATATAACAGTTCAGTGACCTCATGGTGAAAGCAACATGGAAGACCAGATTTACCGATGTTTTAGTGCGATCTTTTGGCTTCGTTTCTCATGGGGAAAAAGGCATGATTTTTAATTAATTAGCCCGATTTAGAAAAATAAATAAATGTACCATCCCAAATAAGAATGTACCGGGTGGGATTTTTCTGGGGAAAAATGGGCAATTGTGGGCAAGCTCTCCTGAGTAGCGACATATTTTTAACTTCGCCTATTGCGTGATCAGTGGATTACGTAAGTAAACCAACACTTTCAATGAGTACATGCCGACCCAACTACACTTGTTTATGGCTGTTTATGAACAGCGAGGACGCATCTCATAGAACAATAGCTGTGGAAATCATAAACAAATGTAAATAATGATTTTGAGCGAGGCAGAGTCTGGCAAGCGTCTCAGAGCAGCATTGCGCCGACACCACCACGATGTTTGAATCCCAGTGAGAGCACTGCAAACCTCTTAAATCACGAGGTAAACTTTCAATTTACACAATACATAATCAGTTCCTACAACAATAATAGAAAGGCAGTTTTTCTAGTGAAGCTCTCGCCAGGTTAGCAAGAGTTTCTCACGATCACCAAACCCGAGACACAAACTATAATACAAAGTTTATAAATACCATAACAAGCACAGTTTCTTACCTTTGAAATTGACGAGACACAATTTTGTCCATATAAGCCTTGCGCAAATAAAGATACAATTCCGGGATACAATATCCTCACACAAAAATGACTGTGATTTTCACCGAGACGAGAACTGCGTATGCATCATCAAAACTCGGATTAAACTCGGGTAATTTCGGGAAAAGTCGGATTTTGAAGAAAAATTGTTAAAAATCAAGGAAAAACACAGTGAAACTTTGAAGAATCGAAAAAATAACTTGATGTGCATCAAAGCACCATCAATTCCTGTCTCTGAACCAACTCTGAACTGAATTGAATCACACATGTGTGAGAAAAAGCTGGTAACGTGCAAATGTGCACACACGGATGCACAGACATGACCCAAATTAATACCCCGCGCCCGGATCACAGATCCGGCGGAGGCTAACTAGCCTTCCTCTCACCATTTTTCATTTAGGTCACAACCACATTTTTCATTCCATATAGATCCCAGAGCATCCTTTTTGACAATGTCTTGGTAGATATCATCCAGAGACTGACATACATGATTACACTTGTGTGATAATTCTGCAGCATTATGTTGCAAACTAATAACTTCATCTTGTAATTCTTTCAACTGCATTCCTGTTTCATTTCCATCTTTGCCAATTATTGCAACAACCATGTGTGGCACTTTGGCAGTTACTTGGTCACGCATTTTTTCTATTTCCGAGTTGGTATTCTGAAATTTACTCTCAAAATCTTTTTGAAAAATCCTCAATTCTTTTAGCTCTTGAACCAGAGTAAATCTACAATTTAGAGAAACAAATATTTAAATTAAATATAACATCAAAGTGAATGGCACAGATCACATAAGATTTAACACATCCAGCATAAAAATGTCTAATTAATATACAAATTAAGTAATTAATATGCAAGGATTTCAGACAGAAACAAATAGGCTATTATCCTAGAGCATATACAAGTGTAGTAGAATAAATGAATTGTTAATCGTAATCAAAATCAATTTTGAAACAAATTATACAATGCCAACTAAAAAAAAAGACTTTTATTAGTCTGTAAATATGCATTTTCAAGGATACGTCAGAGTCAAGACAAACCTTCAAATCAGTAAGAACTTCAGTAAGGTTCAGAGGAATATTATTAATATGCAGCTGTTTGTTAATTTTTATTTTTTATGAGATTTGTAAATTAAGTGAAAGGCTATCAGACAGATCATATTATTGTAATTAAAGAATTGTAACATACTGGTATCATCTGTGAAGAGTTTAAAATTTAATGCATTTGATGAATACAAAAGAAAATTAAAATAAATTTAGAGCAAAAGAATGGGGATGTTTTATATCAAACTTACTGAAATATCTTCTTGGCTTTCTTGATAAGATTCTGGATACAAATTACTTGCATCAGTACACGCAGAATGGAATACATCACAGCTGCTGACATCTATTAACAAACAAAACACAAACATTGAACACTTGCCTGTAACAAAATGCAGCTACACATAGCCAACCACTGTGATATAAGCAACATTGTAACACTAAAGCACTCAAGAATGGCCTGGTGAATCGCTACGTAAATACATAGACCAGTCAGGATCTAGTCTATGCAAGAGTAGAAGATACTTTGTGGCATGAATGAGGCATCAACGTACATCATGTAAGTATGAGAAAACTGTAATGGCGACACATTTTACTGTACAGATGGAGGCAATACACTGCACACTTTACTGTACAGATGGGGGCAATACACTGCACATTTTACTGTACAGATGGAGGCAGTGCAGTACACTGCACACTGCACACTTTACTGTACAGATGGGGGCAGTACACTGCACACTTTA